CCTCTTCATCAGCGCCACCGACACCGACACCGACATGCCACCGACACCGCCACCCAACGTCGCACCTCGACACCAATACCAGGTGGAAAAGCAACTACATTTATTCATTTCTTGGCAATTGATTCAATGATTCGCTCAGCCATGCAATTGCGATATTTCACCGCAATCGCACTTCTCTTGTCTATACCTCCATGCCACTTCCTGGTTCCTCTGGTGTCGTCCCGCTGTGTCTCTCTGCGTTCCATCCAACTAGTAGAGAGGTCAAGTAGGCAGTACATGTTCACTTATTTGATGTCTACACACAGGTGGCCGAGACTGATCCCCATCATTCTTACCTAACTGACCCACAGATGGTGTATTTCAGCTGTTCATAGCGTTCCTGCAGAACACGGGACTGAGGTATTTGCAAAGAGCTGACGTCAATTTTTATCCTTCTGTTGGAAATTGTAACAGATTATTCTCTCCACTGCACGTGCGCTTTCTTCTGTTGCAATGTGTTTTGCAATTCAATAATTGAAATCAAGCCAGTTGACCTAGATGATCGAATTCGCTTGTCTTCACCAAAAACGCATAGCTTACATACCTCCTCGAGCTAAAACATGTGGTAAGGCAAGGACAAAATATATACATTGCTGAGGTAGAAAAGGGATGCAAATTCACTGGCATGGCATGCAGTTAATGCCACCCAACGTAACTTCTAAAGCTGAGCTAGAGTCGCCCACAAAGTGGGAAGAAGTGTCAAACGAACAATCGTCGTACTACATCATCCGCAAATGTATCTGCTTTAAAATATGCTGCTACATATGCGCAAGCAGAAAGCCAGCTAACAATTTGTTGTCGAGGTACCGTGTGCGCCAAAAGTAATTTGGACTCATTTGGTACTCCATCATCGTCATAATCAGCAGAAGTAGATTTTTCGTGTTTGCGGATACTACACTAACTCGTCCGCATCTCCTTATCAGCGTAATAACAAATGAGTGATCTTGTTGAATCTTAGCCTCACATCGAATTCTGTTTGTCCAAATAAATCAAACTGATTGCGTCTCAATGACACCACCTTCAAATTTGTGCGCATTCATGACTTCCCATGCTAACTCGGTGTCTAATTGTGAAAATACATCGCCAAGTCGGAAAGCGAATTGGTGTAAACCTCAAAGAGACCAAAAATGCCTTGCCTAATTTATTTTAGTTAGATACTTCGTTCATTGCATAAGCGCGTTTACTATTCTTCATAATTATCCATCTGGACATAGACCATCTGCCCAAATTCCCACTGCCTGTCCTTCTTCACATGCTCTTTTTTAGACGCTTCTGAAAATCAACTCCCAGTCACACAGTGGGACCAACATTTTCAGACCGAATGAACTCCACCATCAGCCGGGTATGGAACCAAGTCGTTCCTGAAAGAAGACATCTGCCATGGAAGGCAGTGGAAGTGTGCATTTGCAAACACGTCTCAGTTCTCCATTTCTTAACGGTTGTCCAGATAC